GAAATCACTCACTCGTAGCAGCTGACTTTCTTTCTTATTTTCCCCTCAAACTGGGTCAAGCTGGTGAAATATCACTGAATAAAAATGATTAGCATTGCTTAACAGAATACCCAGAATTCACACATTAGATCAATAAAATCTCAATTATACATGCTTATTAATTATGCATTCACATTTGATACTCGGTTCACTGTTTGCTTCTGGCCTTGTGTGTGTTTCTGCAACCTTCGAAACTGGAAAATCCTGAAGTTTGGTTGCTTGCTCTGTTAAACATGGTGGATTTGCTCGGTTTGCAAAAAGAGTGTGATGTTAACTGAGGAAGAGAGAGAGAGAGAGAGAAGAGTTGGCAAATGCCAGAAAGCCAAGGAACATTGGCAGACAAAACAAGCCTAAAATAAGCAACTTGGCTCATCAAAATATAGATCAGGAACAGATCCAGATCAGGAATTTGATTAATTTTATAAGTATAAACCAGCATGAAACATTAAAAAGGAGGAAGGTGAAATAAACTAAATTATAAATACTGTACACATCTGCATTCTGGAAATAAGCCCCAAAATGCTAATTATAACTGCTCATATGAGTGAATTTATTGGGAAGAAAAAAAAATTGCAAGACTGCCTGCTACTTTAGCAAAGTCAGAGCAGAGCATGTCTTGACTTGCCCTTAGGCTGATTAATGACTTTGTGTATGATGTACAGAGAGGGAAATATTTCTATGACAGTATTCCACAAAAATACTTGGAGGCCAGAATCCCTAGAGACTTGCTTTTTTCGCAATTATCTTGGTATCGTTGTGAGTGTATTTCACGGGAATCCTTCAAAGTTTTACACAACACGATTTTTTATAATGTGAAACATGAGAGCGTGATCTCCTACTGGGAGGGTGAGATTGGGAAAGGGCCGAGGACAGAATCATGGGGAACACCAGTTAAAATCAAGACCTCGGCAGTCATGGATCTCAACAGTAAATATGTTGGCAGGAAATTGAGAGAATCTGAAGGCTGTGCTGGGTTTCATAATTTCCGTTCACATAATAAAACCTCAAAGCAAGCAAAGACTGTTGCCAGTGTAAGGTAGTGAAAATGAAACGCAGATTGTATCAAAACGTTGTTCAGTCTCTGATAAAAACAACCTGCCCTTTTGACCCTGAAACAAAAGCTAAAACTAAAAATGTTTGCGATAATTAAGATCTCCAAACAGTAATAAATATTTTTGTCTACTTTAGAGCAAACAGAGATAAATCATTATTCTATTTCACATAAATTAAAACAGATAAAAATAATTTCAAGGCAATACCGCTGAGTTTTTCTTCATTCAGGAAGAGGTTTCACGGAGAGCGAGACTGCAAGCGCATTTCGTTTCTATTTTTTTATCTTACAAAAGTACAACGTTTCACTGTTATTTTGAAGGTACACAAATAAGAACAGACCGTTTTGAATTATGTCTTACTCTTACCAAACGGATAAAAGTACCAATGATAATCCAAGTGTTTGTTTCGGCGCCTCCCACACGGTAGCACTGCAAACTTGACATCGCAGCCTCTTCAGACACTTTTGTTTGCATATAAATTCGGGCGAGAGAGAAGTACAAAGCCTTCCTTACATGAATAATAATAGTTTAGCAACCAAATATTACACAGCGTCTAACGATTCATTCATGGAAACGATTCATGCCAAATGAGAGGTACATCAGCCCACGAGGTTCAGGTTCAGTTTCGTTTAAAATAAGTTTGTTATAGGCCTATAATTTATAATGAATATTGTTTCTTAACGTTCATTTTTAATTATCAGTAATTACATTATTTTTGAAAGTAATAGTAAAATGAAATCCAAAACTGTACTTCCTTTAGTGAAATGTATGACTTCCCCAAGGCTGTTCTGTGTCTTGATCCGTGTTGGGCAAGTTACGCTGAAAATGTAATTAAATTACTGATTACTGATTACTCCTTTAAAAAGCAATCACGTTACTGTTCTGATTACTTTATTTCAAAAGTAATTAGTTACATTACTAGTTACGTAACTTTTTTCTGTGGCTACATCCATGAAATCCCATGATAAAAGCTCCCGATAAATATTTGTTATTAAAGCATCAACATTCACAAAACACTGTTATTTTTAACTAAAGCAAGCATAGGCTGCTGCATACATGGTTTGGCATGGCAGAATGCAAGCAAATAGTTCTGCTTTTATAATATCTAAAAAGATGACATCTTAGTTCATCGCAATCTCACAAAGCTCTGTTATAACACAATGAATATATGCATAATGAATCTTTCATAATGTCTACAAATCGTGTGTTATAATGAGAGGATTCGTGAGCATGCAAATTTCAGCACTACACTGCTGACTGGCCATTGTGTTCCAGAAATCACCATTGCTCAATGCAGCAAACGCGTGTTACAGCCTAAATAGAAACTCTGCCTACACTTGCGCCTGTTAATCATTTTGGTCCCACTTTATATCAGGTGGCCTTAACTACTCTGTACTTACATTTAAATTAATCATTTAATACAATGCACTTATTGCGTACATACATGTTTTTACATTGTACTTATATTTTTAAAAATACCTGCACGTAACTAATTTCTGTAATTACATTTATAATTACACTGTTGAACCATCCCTTACACCTAAACCCACTCTTAAATCTACCCATACCACCAAACCTGTCCCTAACCTTACCTGTGTCCCACCTCAATAGCATATTTTTTTTATGTAAGTACATAGTAGTTAAGGCCACCTAATATAAAGTGGGACCATTGTTTTTAATTTGACATTAGTTCTTGTTGCTTTTGTGCAATAGATTAATAACAATTTATTTGTTTTAGATATTTTATGTTTAGATATTTCTATTTTGCGGGAGTCCCGTGAATCATTTTATTCTCCCACATCCCGCCCGCACCAGCACTTGGCAGTGGACTAGACAGTGCGTGTGCTACATTCTTTTTACAATCTAGATTATAAAACACTGCATTCTGTCAGCAATGTAACACGGCCGTAACGTATAGAGACCTCGGCTTGTAACTATACTCTAATGACTATTTTGAAAATTATAACGTGTTAAATTACTCCGTTACTAAAAAAGTAATCAAATTACAGTAAAGCATTACTAAGTAATGCGTTACTGCCCAACACTGGTCTTGGTAC